CAGCTTTTTATTTCATTTTGCAGTAATGTGATCAAAGTCTCCTCACCTGGTGTCTCTGTTATTTATCTGCCAGTAATTAAAAGACGGGATTAGAACCAGAAGCCTGATTTCCCATCCCCCACCCCCCAACACTGGGTGCATGGGACTTATGCCTTTCTGACTGTTTCACTATGAAATACTCGCTAAATCCAGCAGTGGATTTATTTTCATGTCTGTTCTTATGGGGAAAGAGCTTGAAGGAATGTGCAACAACTCTAAAAACAATGTTTGAGGAGTATGGATGCCTGGAAGTGCCAAATTTAGTTTGATTCATTTGTGGCTTTTGATCAGTCACATGTAAAAAGCACAGTACCTGATCTTCTTAGATCATTTCCCAGAGCATCTTTCCTGTGTAAAAAAAAAGAAAAAAACACTCCAACATCCTTTGGATATTAATTCACTTTTTCCTACACGGCTGAGCATATACATGATTGAGGATCTCTGTTGTTGAGCACCAATTCACTGTTGCATATATACCCAAAAAATAAGATCAAAACCCATCCGGTTGCTTCCTTTTGTGTGTGGCTGTTTGCTGCGTTTCTGTCACAGAAGTGAGAGGGAGTGACGTGCCGGGAGGGTGTGCCTTTGGCCCGCTGCGGGGGAGGCTCTTCGGTTCCATTCTTGCCAGCCGGTTGACCTGAGGGCAGGCTCCGGGGGGGGGGAGCCTCTGAGGTATGCCACAGGGATGTGGTGGGGGGTGCCTCAAGGGAATTCTCACAAAATAAATGGCTGGTACCTTGGGGGGCACCGAGCATGGATGTCTGGGCTGTCTCAGCAAGGTCTTATGAACAACATACATGCTGCACCGCACCCTGCCATCACCAGATGCGGAGGACATGGGGAGGGGCCCCCTCCCTCCCAGCCCCTTTGTGTGGAGGTTTTCCTCTTTCTTACATGCACTGATCCTGATGGTCACGCTCACTCTTTGACATCAAAGCCGCAAGCTTTGCAGAAACCTGCACTCCTGTGGCGCCCTCTAGCTGGGTGTGGGCCTTTTTTGCGTGAAGCACGTCTGCTCTGAGGTGGGCACCTGTGGTCCACAGCGCTCACCGTGTTCAGACACTGTGTGCCTCAGCCCAGAGCGCTCACTGTGCTCAGGCTCTGTGTGCATCAGTCCACAGCTCTCACCGTGTTCAGACACTGTGTGCCTCAGCCCAGAGCGCTCACTGTGCTCAGGCTCTGTGTGCATCAGTCCACAGCTCTCACCGTGTTCAGACACTGTGTGCCTCAGCCCAGAGCGCTCACTGTGCTCAGGCTCTGTGTGCATCGGTCCACAGCTCTCACCATGTATGTAAAATGTACAATTAGGTCTGAGGGATTTATGTACACAGCAATGATTGGATCATGAAATACGCATATGTGATTTTTTTGTGTATTTTTCATACATCTCTCCGTGTTGGTGCATCCTTACCTGGCCATGCACTTAATGAGTTAACTGGCTAATTATACTTATTACTTTGGTATTCTGGCTGGGATGACTAGGACTAACTTATGAGGCTTCTAGCAGCAGCGAGTGCGTTTGGCTTTAGACTGACTCCCGTCTCGGGCACAGGGCGGCACAGTATCTTTAGTGCCAGCTGCAGGCTTCCCACCGGTGCCGGGGTGTCAAGGTGCTGGAGTGCACCGGAGCAGAGGGGACCAGGTGCGGGGCCGTGGGGGACTCCGGAGGAACTGGGTTACCACCTCGGCCGGCGTGTGAAGAGGGTGACTAGGTCCGTCTGCTCACTTTGAATAGCGAAATGCGATGGAGGTCACAGGAAGGACAGGGCAGGTGATTAATGGCGTTTGGTGGGTGAAAGCAGCAGGTAGCGAGACCTACCCTTTGAAACCTTGAATCATGGGTGTGTGTCCCTGTACTTCTTCTTTCTGCTTGAAAGGACTTGAAGAGCTGTGAATTAAGCTGGAATGAGGTCACCCTACCCAGCACCTATTTAAATTTCCAAAACAGAAACATTTTGCATTTTATTCTGTGCTGGTTCTCCAGCTGCATTGCGTTTTTGGGGATCTGCTGATTTGCTCCACTGCTTGTACAATCGCTGTCGTACCTTTGAAACTTTCACGCTGGTCTCTGTAATGGCCTCGGCTGCTTTCCTTGCTGCTTTTCCTTCTGTTGAAGCCTAATGGTCAGAATCATCAGCGTATTCATTAAGTACCGTTAGAAATCCAGCATATCTGTTAATGCTGACAAGGTCAGGAGCTTCACACCTCCACAAAGGACTGTGCTGGAGGTGGCAAATGCTTTAACTGAAGTGCCAAGCTGTCCTTGGGATACATACAGGAACCGGGGCTTTGATATCCACGGTGGGCGGGATCGTTATGCTCTGTCAATCATTGGTTTCTATTAAAGTAACAAACAGGAAGTGATTGGCAGCCCACTGTGCTCTTTGAAGTTCTGCTTCACACCCTGGCTGGCACTGTACTAAGCTGTGTCGGAGTGTTTTACCGTTTTACCGGGTGGAAAGCCTTCACGCTCACCCACACTCACCGCACCCGTGACTCGAGACCCAGTCCCGAGTCTGTGATTGGGATCAGTAATTTTGCAGGAGAGGTCTGAATTACAGCTGTACCGGAGGGTAATGCTTCTTTTTCTCGCAGTGACAGGTAATCTGAGACCGAGCCTGCCAGTGAAAGGCTGCTTCATAGTAACGCTGGTTAACATGTTTATATCTTCAGAAAGCACTAGATGTCTGAATAAATGTGGCTTTCGGGGAAATTGAAATTTTTCTTTAATTTAAAAGGAATCAACCTTCGGGTAATTAGGGACTAACAGTGTTGGTAGTGTTGGCAGGGCTAGGGACCAGAAACCTGGCAGGGCTGGTAACTAGGGATACTGACAAGGCTGGTTGCCATGGACACACACAGATCATAATCCCAGACAGTGATGTGTCTGGTAATCGGAAACACTGACATAACAGGCAAGCAGGAGCACAGACGGATCTGGTAGCTATGGACATTGTCAAGGCTAGTTTCCGGGGACACTGCAAGATTTTTGACCCAAGAAAACTAGGTTGCCATGGATATCGACTTAACTGGTATCCAGTAAATTGGAAAGGACTGACAACTAGGAATACAAACAGTGTAGGCTGTTACATTTGTTTTCTTAGCTCCATGATACTTTACAGTGGAAAATGCGTTTTTCTCTAATCCCTTATTTTCAGAGACACTGCATCTGTTTTCTGTATAATTAATAAATGTTTTCTGGTGTAACATACAGTATGCCCTCTCCACACTTGGACCGCTGTAACGGCTGAGCAACACTGTCTGAATACCTTGCAAACTATTTTTATAGTCTTGGCCAAACCACCAGGGTGCGGTAGTGTGCAGATTGTGACAGTACAGTATGAAAATCATTTTAGTCCATTTTACCTCTGCACTGAGAAGAGAAAATTGCAAAATATCTGCATATGAAGTGACATGACTTTTTTTCCCTTATATTCTGCCAAAGTGTCTGTATCACCAAGAGATTTTGCATGGCATTGATCTCTGATTGTGCGATCATCTTTTTCATGGAAGGAACGTGAAGGTTAATAAATATGCACAGCGCTGGGTAACGATGGCAACATGAACAGCATGTCAACAGATAATAAAGCCCTTTGAATGTGTAATGTGAACAAAGCGGTTTTCTCTCTCGGCTGAAAATATTTTCCTCCCTATGTGAAGATTATGGATTGTGTTATGTGTTTTTTGAGCAGATGCAGAAACAGGTACTGGCTTGAAGCGTTCCATAGCCAGTCATCATTCCTAGCCTCCTAGCAGAATTAAGGCGCATGTGATTAAAGGAGAAACGGACTTTGCACTTCAGAAACACATGAGCACCAGTAATGGGGTGCCCTCTACTGGTTGGAGGGCACTTAACATGTGGGGGGAATATGATGGAGTGAGCACTAGACTTGCAGATCCGTCGGTGAGACAATGAGCTTAAAAGCCGGCAGCTTTGAAGGCCTCCCCAGGCCCGTTAACAAGCCTCCACAGCCTCAGAAGCAGCCTCTCATCTCCTCGACCCCTCCTTGCGTTCAGCAGCAGTGACTCAATGCCCTCCTGGCACGGCTTTCATTATGTGTTTGACTGCCGTGACATACGGTGAGTCCCTCGCCGCTCGCCACAGCCGTCGGCTTCTGCGGGCTCTCCCTTCCCCTTTATTCTTTCACCGGTTCCGTGAGCCGCTCGGGCTCAGGTTCCGAGAGGAGTCAATCAGCCACTGCCCAGCTCGAGCCAACGCAATCCGCCGTGGCCAGACTGCCAATGTGTTGGCACGCAGGGTGCCGGCACCTCCTGGCAGATTCGGAGATCTCCAAGCCTGTGCCGGATTGGCTTGGGGTCAAAGGCCGTTTGCACTCCCCTTTTCTGCACTCTGTTTTCTCAGCGGCAGGAGGGAGAGAACGCACTCCACCTGTGCTTATTACCTCACCCCTGCACAGAAGATCCATTTGGGACGCAAGGAGTGTGTAGTGTCACCTTACAGGGTGACCGTCCTCCTCCTCTCTGTCTGTGAGGACGTGCTAAGACCGTCCACCCTCCTGAAAATCAGCCCATATGATGGATCCTCATCACCCTGGACTGTCACCAGGATGGGACCATCAGGATAGCTGTTCCGGAATGTACCGTCCTACCGTTTGGTCTGTATGAAATGGATACTGCTTTTTATGGTTTTGGTCCCTGTGATGATGGTGTAGACTGTATAGATTGTATGTATAAAACCCCCCCCGCGAGGGCTTTATGGGTTAGACCCCTCTATACTGGCTTTATGGTCCTCCCTGGTGTTCAGCCTCTATGGAATGTCTGTATCAAATCCCCCCCCAATGGTTTTATGGCTTTAACTCCTGCCACCATGGTGCTCAGATTGTGTGTATCAAGCCGGCAGTGCGCTGCTTTATGGTGTGACCCCCTTCCGTATTGGTTTTATGGTGCAGAATCCCTCTGTGCTGCTTTTCCTGGTCTTACGGCTTCTCCTCTCCCCTCAGGAGCAGAGTCCGGGGGAGCGGCTTTCCTTGACGATGATGCCGGAGCAGGAAGAGCTACAGGAAGCCAGCGCCGGCGTGACAGAGGAGCAGGACGGGGGCACGCCCACCTCCCGCATGGCAGCGGGGACTGGGGACCAAACCGAGGCCAAGGTAGGATGCCCCTGCGCACTGTACTCACTGTACGCCAAACATCACTGTACTCACTGTACGGCAAACATCACTGTACTCACTGTACGCCAAACATCACTGTACTCACTGTACGCCAAACATCATTGTACTCACTGTACGCCAAACATCACTGTACTCACTGTACGGCAAACATCACTGTACTCACTGTACGCCAAACATCACTGTGCTCACTGTACGCCAAACATCACTGTGCTCACTGTACGCCAAACATCAGCAGCGCATCTCGCACAGCATGATAATTACCACTCGAGGCACAGACTGTTTCGAAGGACATTAAGCTCTGTACCAATTAGGAAGTCTGATTCAGAGAGGTAGAAATTGACGACTAATCTCCGCCTGACCTTCAGAAGGAAATTTAATTTATAGATAATTTCTTGTCCGTGTGGTTTTCACATGATAACATTGTCTGTCAGGAACATTTATGTACTTAGTGTGATTGAGTCGGCATGTTTAATTGATGTTGTTTATACCCTAAAATCCGATGAGAGCCAGTTTTTACTTCAGACCTGCCTTCCTTTATCAAACTGGTCGCAGTTTGCACGACAGAACATAACAACGGCACTGCGATTCGGCACAAACGTGCATGTGCGTGTATGCGGCCGTCCCTGCCGTCCCTGCCGTCCCTGCTCTGGCACCTTAGCAGCGGAACCAAACGTACAGAATGAGGGCCGGGGGGGGGCTCTGGGAAAAAAAGACAAGAACGGTGGAAATGGTTGTAGTAGCTGGTTAGGAGTCGCTTGTGCGGCAGTTTTGCGAGAATGTGCTCATCTTAATGAGGATCGCAGGGGCAGCACTGAAGCAGACCTGCTCTCCTAACTGTCTGCTGTCTAGTTAGTGTCAGTTTGATCCAAACGCACCTACGACATGGCAGGAACTTATAGAAAAGCTGTTTTATTGGCCTTCTTTCTGTTATCATGTTTGCCCAGAACGACGGCTCGGCCTTTCTGAGGGGGCATTTCTGAGGGGCATTAATGATTTTATTAAGGCACTGAAGTTCTGTTCTGCCTGTTCTGATTATCTTTTCGTGTGTCAGATCAGATGAAGACCCCTGAGCACGGTGAGTATCTCCTGCCTTCACTGTCGTGTTCTCAGTATCGTCCACTTCATCCTCCAGGGCACCAAGCCGGGGAAGATGGCATCCTCCTGCACGGGCCGGCCCCCGGCCCTGGGCCCAGATGGCCTGCCCCTCCCCGAGAGCCCCCCACCGGCGGGCAGCTACACCGACTCCGTCGACCGGCACAACATGAAGAACGGCAACCCCCATGCCGTGGCCCAGGCCTCCACGCTGACCCGCTCCCTGAACAGCTACAACTGCTCCTTCGGCGAGAGTCCAGAGCGACAGCCCCTCCAGCAGGGGGCGGGTGACCCCTACGGCACCCTAACTCTGGGGGCGGCCTACCGCTTGCACCCACCCTACACTCCTGCTGCTGCCTATCTGCTGCCACACCACCTGGATAGCTTTGGCCTAGTGGCCCAGCCTCAGGCCCCCGTGGAGCCGGGCCGGTCCCCTCCGGAGCAGTACGGGCTGGAGAGTGACCGCATCAGTTTGGGCCCCGAGGAGGAGGCCGTCTACGGTCTGGAGCCCGACTACGCCACTGCCTCCCGGCGCACGCTGAGCGTCGCCGACCGGGGCAGGCCTGCACGCGAGCCAATCAGAGAGCCTCTTCACGTCCGGTGAGATGCCCGGGACAGCAATTGTATTTTTGATGAGTGAGAATGGGAAAGGTTTACAGCCTTTGAATGACTGGAGGCACGTAGATCGGCGGCGGGGCCCCTCGTCAGAAGTGAAAGCCCTCCTGGTGCCCTAGGCCACCTATGATGTCTATACCAATGGCTGGCCCTCTGCATGGAAGTATGTTTTCATACTTATTAATAGAAATAAACGTTAAAATACTGCAGGAAATGTCTTAGGCAGAATCCTCATGACTCACAGAGTCTGTTAAATGTTGTGTTTGTGTGTGTGTGTTTGTGTGTGTGCAGCTAGCAGGATACAGTCCTCTGAGCTAATGTTAGGGAGGTGAGACCCCCCCCCCCCGTCCACCTGTGCCTCTAGGCTGAGAGAGAAGCCATCTTTTTGGAATCGTTACACCCTCTGCTTGGTCTACTGCCCCAGCCTGAGGAGCCAGTTAATGGAAGTATTTATGGTTTGAGTGATGTGGAGGGGGGTTGGTGGTGTGACAAATCATATCTGGTAGTAGAACAGGGGGATGGACAGGTGAACTTAATAACTAACCTCATTTTAGGAGTTTTTTAAAGCATGAAAGGGAAAGGGTCATACCTGCACAAAGAGTGAGAGGATGGAATGGGGAAATGGTGAAGTCAGGCCTTGAAGGAAAGGAGGAAGAAAAATCAATCTTCTGTGTCACTTAAATATTTTAGGTTCAAGTCCTAGTTATATGGAAAGTACAAGGCTCCCGGAATATTCCAGCAGTCTCTCGGATATGGGCGTGGATTCCCAGATGACCGGCGCTGAGCGAGAACCTCAAAGAATCGTAGACCCTCAAAAGCCATTAACATTCAGTCTTGCTTAGTTCAAAATGTCAGTGTATGAACAAAAGGTTTCAGAGAAAATTTGGCATTTACCCCTCCCAGAGCGTCTCAGCCTCTCGTCTCGATAGGAAGACTCTGTATGAACTGACTGACATGCCACTGATCTGTGGAGCGTGTTAGAATTACCACGCTCTGACCACTGCAAGCAGAGCGCCCCCTGCATGTGAAGTCGCTCGTTGCTCACTGATCCATTACATGCTGCGGTACAGCGTGAGGTGACTAAGATATATCTGAATTTGCAGTCAATGACAGATGAGAATTAATCAATGAGACACTCAGCTGTGTCAAATATAATGGCAACCTCTGCAAAAAATATCAACAAAATGATTAGCCCTCTCTGTCTCTTTAAGGGGGGTGTTTGAGGACCACATCGAGGCTGAACTGATAGAGGGGCGACACCCCTACATCCACGATGCGTACCAAACGCCCCTGGTGGGCTTAGAGCACACGGCTGGCCCCCGCTCCCCCTGCTTGGACAGTGTCCGGAAAGACCCTCGCTGGCGTGACCCTGACCTTCCCGAGGTCATTGGCATGCTGGGCCACCCCGTGGACCCGGTGAAGTCCAACGCAGCTGCTTATCTGCAGCACCTGTGCTACGAGAACGACCGCATCAAGAGGGACGTGCGGCAGCTGAAGGGCGTGCCGCTGCTGGTGGGGCTGCTGGACCATCCCCGGGCCGAGGTCCACCGCAAAGCCTGCGGAGCCCTGCGCAACATCTCCTACGGCAGGGACCACCAGAACAAGGTGGCCATCCGCAACTGTGATGGCATCCCGGCGCTGGTGAGGCTGCTGAGGAAGACGGGTGACATGGAGGTGCGGGAGCTGGTCACAGGTGTGTCCACATGCGTTCATGAATACAGTAAGGAGGGTGGGTGGAGAAAGGGGCGAAGGAGGGAGGGAGGAAGGGAGGGAAGGAGGGAGGGTGAGTGGGGAAGGAGGGAGGGAAGGAGGCAGGGAGGAGAAGGATGGAGGGAGGATGAATGGGGAAGGGGAAGGAAGGAGGGAGGGTGAGTGGGGAAGGAGGGAGGGAAGGAGGGAGGGAGGAGAAGGATGGAGGGTTAGGGTGAGTGGGGAGGGAAGGAGGCAGGGAGGGGAAGGAGGGAGGGTATTCAGTGAGGGAGGGAGGATAAATGGGGATGGAGGGAGAGACAGTAAGGGAGGATGACTGGAAAGGTGTGGAGATATGGTGAACAGAGCTTAAAAAGAAGAATATGTGGACTAAAGTGATGTTGCATTAGATCAGCACTGCTGCAGTAATCAGCCCGTTAAGCTGGTGGGACACAGCAAGGGGCTGCGGCTCTTCTCATCCTTATCGGTTTCTCCGGTCTGGATTCGATTTGTGGGCCCTGACACAAACAGTGGGAGAAAGATCTGGAAATGGATTAGAACAGAGCTGCTGTGCTGGGCATAGGTGCATTTGTCACAATTGGAGATACGAGACTGCAATCATTCTCCATGTGACGTTACACATAATTGTTCCATTAAGTGTGCAGTGACGTGTCATTTGAAAATACACATTTTCCCATGATTTCGAACTCTTGCTTTTTTGACATCTTATTAATTCTGATCAAGTATGAGGTTTTTTTTCCCCTCAGTCTTATCATTTTTATTTTAAGAAAATCACATAAATAGTGCATAAACATCCTGTAATCCAAAACCTACAAGGAATGGAAAAGGCCTGCTGAGATGGCAACTGAATTATCATTTATTTAAAATATATATTTAAAATATAAATTGTATCATTTTCCGAGGACAACAGAATGTTTTCTTCCTGTATAACTGAAGTCCAATGCAGTTTGCAGTAATTCTGCCAAAGTACTTTGCACAGTGTGATAAACTATTAAAATGTAACTACTGTTGGCAATTGAAATGCTCCTGATTATTAAACACCCATGTGCATAATTTAGCAGTGATCACTGAGGCATTTGGTGGCTAATTCTGCAGGTAAATGTACAAATGCTAAGCTCACGCAGGGAATAGGTTTCCGCTGCCTGTTATGTGACATTCTTTACTGTGTTTTAACGATGGGTGTATCCAGAATTGCATACTTGCACAGTAAGTACTGAATTTCATCAGAAGCCTCAACCTTTAATGCAGTATGTAATGCTATGTACTGTATGTATGCACGAGAACAACGTACATGCATTCGGACACACTGTGGTCGCCATCTTGCATATTACCCCAACCGGATGTTTATCAATGATGTAGTTTGACCCCCGCAAAACTTAACTGTTAAAAACTATCCATGGAAAAATACGTATTTGACTAAACTTGCGTAACTGGGCATTGTTTTCTGTTTATTTTTTTGTATAGAAAGGCCACTTCTTCCACCATTTTCACAAAAATTCCTGAGCAATTCCTGGCTGCAGTACCAGTGGTCTTGTGGGATAATGTAGCATCCATTGGTTGCCCATGTCGAAATTTTGAAGAGTGTAGTATGTCATCCAGGTTGCGTTCACTTACTGTTATCCATACTTGCATTGCATACTATATTTTGCCTGCTACATAGCAAACAAGTATGTGATTTCTGACGCACCCTGCACTCTCCTCAGCTGTGCTTATTTGCATACTGGGAGGGGATTGGTTGGATGTCAGGTTTCATGTTCCGCCACCTTCAACAGGGTTCAGCGGCGCTTTATGTCAGCATCAAAAGTTACAATATTTCTATCACGGGGCCCACATTTATTTTTAGGTTTCGCTTTGGAATTGTTTGATGCCAGGCTGGCAGAATTTGACATGGATATCATTAATCTAGTGGAAAATTCATGCAAATGAGAATGGAAGGTTGAAAAAGTCGGTGTGTGTTGATTGCTCTCTGTGAATGGCGTGTGTCACAGATGAAGTCAAACACAGTAACTTCTGCCCGTTTTTGTTCCTTTTCAATTAAAAAAAATTAAATCATTCCCAAGGCAACCAGATCGTTATTTTTTCTGAGCCAGGAAAAGATGAAATCGCTAATCTTACCTCTCCTCTAAGGAAGCGATGTGGGGCCTGGGGAGAGAGTACTTCACAAAGTTAATGGAAGTAAAAACAGATTGGCGTACTGGGTGGTGTGTGTGTGTGTGTGTGTGTGTGTGTGTGGGTGTGTGTGTGTGTGTGTGTGTGTGCGTGCGTGCGTGTGTGTGTGTGTGTGTGTGTGTGTGTGTGTTTCTGGGTGTCTTTTTACCTTGTTGGGACATTTTTCCGGTGCCCTACAAGAATAACCTACATTTTCTTAAAATTTGTGAATGTAATCAAAAAACTAAAATAGCCGAAAGTTGTATTTTGTTTGGTCACTTATGGTTAAAGTTAGGGCTGGGTAGGGGTTAAGGTTGTCATAGTTGGGAATAGGGTTATGCCCATAGAGATGAAAGATATGAATAAAAATATGTCTGTGTGTGTGTATGTCTGAGCTCGCGTGTGTCTCTGTGGGTGTATGTCTGTGAGCTTGCGTGTGTCTGTGCGTGTCTGTGTGCGTGTATGTCTGTGAGGTTGCGTGTGTCTGTGTGCGTGTATGTCTGTGAGCTCGCGTGTGTCTGTGTGCGTGTGTGTGTCTGCGTGGGTATATGTCTGTGAGCTTGCGTGTCTGTGTGCGTGTCTGTGTCTGTGTGGGTATATGTCTGTGAGCTCGCGTGTGTCTTTGTGCATGTGTGTGTGTATGTCTGTGAGCTCCCGTGAGACTGTGTGGGTGTGTTTGTGTCTGTGTATGTCTGTGAGCTTGCGTGTGTCTGTGTGCGTGTCTGTTCGGGTGTGTGTGTGTCTGTGTCTGTGTCTGTGTGCATGTCTGTGTGTGGGTTTGTCTGTGTGCACACGCGCGTGTCTGTGAGTGCAGGCGCGTTCACTCATGTGTGGATATTGTCATTTTCAAAGGAGCAGCCCTTTATCCACTGTAGCTGAGTGTAAATATTTAAATGTTTCCCTTGGTGCTTTTCCCTCTGGATGTGGCAGCGGGGGTGTCGTGACTTTTTATGTATTTCAGAAGTGCTCTTTGAATACAGGTAACATTGTGTTTGTCTACACATCCTCTCCACCAAGCGAGAGCTGCAGCCTTGCTGTGTTTTTGGGAAATCTTTCTATATTTGGAGAATCATGGCAGTGTGTTAATGAGTAGCACTGTGGCCTCATGCCGCCGAGGCTACAGATTCAGTTCCCAGTTCCCCAGCCTTTCCGTGTCTGGAGCTGGTATCTCCCCCCTTTGTATATGTGGGCTTTGTCTGGGTCCTTCCATATGGCGCTAATGGTTTAGGTGGGTAGGTATCTCCAGATTCCTGGCTAAATTATATGTTGTCCTAAGTGGGCTGGCATCCTAAGCTGGATGGCCTGTACAGGTACTTCTTGTACTTCAGGTTTGCTTTGATCCTGGTGTAGATTGTTTTGGGAGCTCTCTATGTAGAGTCTGGCCCGGAAGTAGTTACACGTGTGACCTGCACCATCAAAGCTCTCCTTCCTCCCAGGAACGTTGTGGAATTTGTCTTCCTATGAGCCCCTGAAGATGGTCATCATCAACCACGGTCTGCAGACCCTCACCAGTGAGGTCATCATCCCCCACTCAGGCTGGGGCCGGGATCCCAGTGAGGAGTCCAAACCCCGGGACGTGGAATGGACCACGGTATTCAAGAACACGTCAGGATGTCTAAGGTAAAGCAGAGAGGCTTGCCCGGGTCAGTCTGGGGTACACTGTGATGTGAGGTACACTGCGATGTGAGGTACACTCCGATGTGAGGTACACTGCGATGTGAGGTACACTNGATGTGAGGTACACTGCGATGTGAGGTACACTCCGATGTGAGGTACACTGCGATGTGAGGTACACTGCGATGTGAGGTACACTGCGATGTGAGGTACACTCCTGTGTCCTGTTTCAGAATGGGTGCAGCCAGCATTAAAGCCTGACCAAACCTGCAAAGTTCCTTGCGTCTTTTCCATGGATTCCCTTGCCATTTTGTATCTGGTCCAGGATTTTTTAACATTTTATTACCTCATAATCAAATAAAGCATGAACAAATTAAAAATTCTTTCTGGATACCACCACAAAATTGGCACATTTGAACATTTGAACAACCATCTGAACAGAAAAAGACTCTGGTTCTCTCTCCTGTCAACCAGCCGAGCCTTTTCAAAAAGGCCATACCTGAGCAAGGGCTTATGGGAAAAATTCTGGTTCAGGTACCGTTGTCTGAGGGAGTGGGGGATGCCTGTCGCCTCTTGCTGCTGCTCTCTACAGCCATTTCCTCAGAGTTATTATTTTGAAAGCCTGTGTGTTTCTGTAATTTCCCCTCCACATAAACCCCAGTGCGGCTGATTCTTTAGTATCTGTGCAGCTTGTGAACCTATTAGCGCAGATATCGATCTCAGTGATGCTCTTGCTCGCACCGCTGCTCTGAAGGGGCCATGACAGAGGCGGGCCTTACTGGAACAGGGGACGGGATTTGTCCTGAGGGAAGGGAGGGACTAAACTGCTTCTCTGTAGCCTGACATGACTCCAGCTGGCTTCTGTTTTAGCTGGATTAATCTCTCAGTCGGCGCAGGTGGAGACTCTCACCCTTCGCTCTTAGACGTGGCTGGCAGAGCTCTTGTGCTCGCCCACATGCTCTAGTCTAAGAGAGCGAGGCCTCTCCTTCAGCTCCTCCTCTGGCCTGTCTGTTTCCTACGCTCTTGGCAGTCCTCCATATAGAGAGAGGGCCAGTTTCCTTGTGCCTGATAAATCATTCTCTGGGTCTGCTTGCCCAGAAAGGATTCATTTATACATATTAGGTAGATCTCACCGTGGAAAGGATGAACAAGGCTTGACATTTTGGGGCAAAGTGATGAGGGTGTTCGTTACTTTTACCTGTGCCCTGTGTTTTCACTCTGGTCCTGCACACACACCCAGCTGCTTTTGCTAAACCCATCCTGACCCCCTTGTTCCTCGCTTCCCATGTCACATGGTCCCCCCCCGGAGTCAGTCTTGCTATTTCACAGGTGCTCGCTAGGCAGGTGTGTTACTGATCCAGACCTTCCACCCTTGCCCTGGAGTCTGTTACCGGGCAGGTCCTCAGAAAGCTGTGGTGAATGTGTGCAGCGGATGCCTTCCAGGTGTGTGGCGATGTGTACAGGTGTGTGATGTGCAGGCATGCTGCTCGTGTCGCAGGAATGTGAGCTCAGATGGCGCGGAAGCCCGGCGCAGGCTGCGGGAGTGCGACGGCCTGGTGGACGCACTGCTCTACACGCTACAGTCCGCCATTAACAAGAAGGACACGGACAACAAGGTGGGCCTGTCCAGGTTTGCAGTAAGACTGTTCATCGTCAGTGACAGTGCAAAGCGCTTCTGTACTTCTGAGGAGGGTTTTAACGGTGTATTAAGCAGACAGATAGGGAGCAGTAAGGCATGTTAGGTCATTCAAATAAAAGCGCATGTTTCTAAGCTGTTTTGCAAACTCCTCACTTGCACATTGGCTTTGTTTGTCTTCTTTGTGTCTTGGCCTGGTCGCCATCCTGTAGAGATTCTGACTGTAGGCCTGTTCTATGCTGTTCTTGACACGGGGCTGTTTCAGTCAGTGGAGAACTGTGTGTGCATCCTACGCAACCTGTCATACCACGTGCACAAAGAGGTCCCGGAAGCCGAGAAGCACCAGGAGTCCATGGCGGGCCTGAAGCCGAGCGCGGCAGGGTCCCAGAAGAAGAAGAAGAAGGACGACGCCGGCTGCTTCGGGGGCAAGAAGGTCAAAGGTCAGTGGCCCCCCCTTCCAGGAGCTTCCCAGTATATACACCGCTTGCTGGGGTAGATGGATGGCAGCGCCTCTACATAAACTAGTTTGCTGCCTTTACGCTAATATTCTGCAGGCATAAAAAATGGCCAGTGGATCAGGCGTGGTTTGACATATGGGGACCATTATACTTTCAAAACAGCACGTTGTAATAGGACTGCTGGAAAGATGAAATAGGTGTAGTGAAGGTGGAACAATCAATATAATAGCCTGAAAAGACCCCCCCCCCCACCTCAGGTCCTCATTTTCTGTTGCTGTGTCATCTTATTGTATCTTCACCACCCCCCACCCCCCTACTGTGGCCTGGCTGCCGTTGGCTGCAGAAGACTGGTTTAATCACGGTGAGTGTCTCCCCGTCGCCCCACCACATGGATGCTGATTAGCACTCCCCCATGACTGGACAGCTGACTGCTTATCCAAGTGCTTTGTGCACATTAATAATACAGTACGAATGTAAATCTAGTTTGGGAACGTAGGTAGCTCAGCACTTAAAGACTGGAACTGGTAATGGGCCATGGAAGGTTCCAGAAAGCTGGAGATGTGTGCTGTGGAATGAGCCAACATGGACATTAATGGAGGGAGTGTGTGTCCCCTGAAGGGCATGCTGAGGACGATGTATATGTCACTGCCGCCTTCCTCAATGTCTTATTTCTTAAATGCAGGATGGAAAAATGGAGAGAGCAAAAGGGCCTATGACTCCCTGGATCTGCCGAAACGCTCAGAGCCCATTAAAGGTAGGGGGGCACGGGATGAAAGGAGATGGAGGAGGGGCAGGGCCCCCCCCGGCGAGCTGTTACTGCAGCCAGAATACTGACCATTCTGACCGTGCGAGTGGTGATTGGCTCAGAGGGGAGCTCTCCAGTTTAGGAGGTTGACAGAAACTTGATTGGTTGGCGCAGCGCTGGATTCCACTGCGTTGACAGAGCCGTCTGTAATTTTATGTAAGTAGGTCAGCATGACTGCCGACGTGCCTGTAAAGCGCCGGGCGTGAGGAGTCCCGCGCATGGTGAGGTCTGATCATCTGTGCGGCGATCGCACAGCAGCCCCCAGCGACGTCGGCCCAGCCACACGCGCGTGTGCAGCTTCATCGAAAGCGAAACCCCATGCCTGGTCCCCGCTAATCGGCCATTTCGGGTCACAACACCAATGCTCTTCTCTCCAGCGAGACAGACGTCGTTCCACTCTCTCCCATCAGAGCACATCACGTGAAGTGGGGAGTCTGCGCTTGGTTATGGTCTCTCCACAAGACCATCTCAGGGTCTGGTTCCACAGGGCTGAGCAGCCTTCGAGCCACCCTACTAGATGGGGATGTCTTGGTCAGCTGTGAGGGTCGTCTCGGCTACAGCTGCATGTCTGCATCTGTCTCTCTGCATATGAATAGAAATGGGTTTGGTGAGGAAGGGATGGCTGTTCATGCACGGGACATGAAAATTCAGGGTACGATCAAAGCTGTTTAGTTCTTAATTTGTGTTTCATTTATATGGTTTTGTTTCCTGGTAATTAGCTACATTACTGAACCTAAGAGAGCTCCTATTCAGCTGGATTGCTGTTAAATGGAGGTCAAGCAAATTAGCTTTTCAAAGCTTAAATAGCAAGAATGTTCGTGAAGTTCGAGCAGCATTATATAGCTGCAGCCCCCAGCATTGTTGTTAATGGGATGTGCGTTAGAACATTCCATTATAGCCGGTCATTATCCAGTGGGACCATTTTGTTGGTCTACAGGAGTCCACTGAAATAGCAGTGTGAAAAAGATTGTTGTTGCTATTTTCGTTAAGATGGCAGTTTTGAGAATGATATGCGCAGAGGGAGCAATGAATTAGAAGTATCTCTAGGCCCCGTACACGGGTTTATCTGACACGTGTCTGCAAATTCACGGAAGGCTCAAGGTCATAGGTCAACAGGCAGTTAGCAAAAGTAAGTAATGACAGCAGTATTACGAAAAAAATCCAAATCAACTGAGACAAGGACTTGGGGGAGGAGGGAGATGATGAAGTATCGTAAGGGAAGCGTTTAATTAGAAGACAGCTGTCCCAGGGGCGCTGGGACATTTTTTGGCACGTTAATTGAAAAGTCCTGTAACTTTCCACCAGGAGAGCGTGACAGTGTGCGGCGTATTTGACAGGAGGGTTAGGTAACAGAGATCAGCCTTGATTAATTGATTAGTTTAGCCAGAGGAGAACAGAGGTGTTCTTCCAAGAATGGATTAGAGGAGGACCGTCCCCAAAAGGAAGGCCACACTTCTGCGCCTTATCGGGCCTTCCCTTGCTAATCGCTGCCTGTTTTATAATTAAACTGAAAGCATGAAGGGTCATCAAGAATGCCTTTGAAGTCCGAGCTTTAGAAAGGAACCGGAGTTTGCTATTAGTCTCACCTCATGTGACACCAATTTTGGGTTTGCTTTGAGTTCAAATCACGGATGAATTAGATAAAAGATCTGCAGCATAATAAAATTCAGATACAGTCAGTATGCTCTGCGATCTCTGCAAGGTCTTCCTGGACATTACGGCACTTTGTCTGAAGAGATTTTCATGTCCATTTAACACTCCTGAGGGTTGGAGAGTGTGGGAGGTGAGATCGAGAGGCGATCAGGAAAAAGGCCGGTGCAATTGCTCAGCTGCATGCTCCATTTTGACACCTGGCTTGGCTGATGTCATGTCACGAGGAGCTGGGGAGAGTGAGAGAGAGAGAGAGAGAGAGAGAGAGAGACCACTCATTTAAGGCCTAAGATGTTCTGCTCAATTTATTCTCCTCCCCGCCCAGGTCGTTCAGGCATTAACTGTAACGATTTTCAACTTGGAGAAGAATCGCTCGCAGACCCCATGAGACAGGCTGTGATCTGTGGAGTCTGGCAGTGACGGCATCTCTTTGAAAGCTGGTTCGGAGAATTCGATGCTACTTCTCAAGTGTCTCTGTAAAGTGTCTTTAATCAGAGGTGGTGGAATGCAGTCTCTTAAAACACGTCTCCAGGAATGCTTCCAAATGACGACGGCCTCCTGACAGCCCTGGAGTCTGGAGCTAATCTCAAGGATCCAGTAAAATACTACTAATACAGTCGGCCCTCCTTATCTGTGGGGTCTGCATCCACGGATCAAAAACGTTTGGGAAAAAAATTCAGAAATGTAAATTTGCTGTGCAATAGGCACTACACCTAATCCTCGTGAATGAAGTGATGTGTAGGTAGAGAGGGAGAATTAATTTACATTTGCTCTGTTTATTATTATATTTTCTATATGTACTACAATGCTTGTGTCTGTACAGAACATGTAGACTTTTCTTCTTATCATTATTCCCTGAGCAATTCAGTATAATAGCTATTTACATAGAATTTGCATTGCATTAGATATTATAAGTAATCTAGAGATGATTTAAAGTATAAGGGGTGATGTGCGTAGGTTATATGCAAATATGCAACTGCATTTTATATAAGCGTACTTGAGCATCCACAGAACGAATTCCCAGCGGATATTGAGGGAGTGCTGCACTTTGTTTACTGGACAACATTAAGCACAGCGATATGTACTGTATCAGAGTCTGACCAACCTTTTTGTGACCAGCAGGTCAGTCAGTGACCGCCGCTGTACGTATTCAGACACCTTGTTGCCTCCCCAGTGTTTGTGCAGTCCTGCTTTGCAGTACAGGACGCTACGTAAAAGGTGGACAGCAGAACGGCACTGAATATTGCCCTGTGAACAGCACCGATGAAGTGATGTCTGAATGACATCAGATTAAATTGCAGTTAGCGGTTGTGCAGTGCAGGACAGCAAAACGCTTTTAGGTTCAGTGCTGTGTTTTTATTACACGCCCAGCCTGGCGCGTTGCTCTGGCTGGGAGCTTGCCACCAGCTTTTTCTTACTGGGGGGGTCCTAATGGATCTGCTTCAGCCACGGCATTGGATGTGGTACAGGTGTTTGTCTTCCCCATTTCCACTATATTCTCAGTCCCAGCTGAGGCAAGTAATGCATCAGGTGTTGTTCGGAAGTCACCTTCATCCGAAGCAGCTCGCATTTTTTTCTGTCTTTCTTACAGAGGTTTTTTTGCTGGACGTGGCTAGATTAACCTCCTTCTTCAGAGCCAGAGAGACAGAACCATCTAACGGGGCTTCAACAGGCAACTGAACCATTTCGCCGGTTTATACCTTTAGCACCATCTCCACCTTTTCTAGACCGTCGAATTTTCTTCCCTTCTTGTCAGGTCAAGTCACTTTGCAGTGAAGATGGGGTAGAGGTTCACCACACTGTCAAAGACTGTGTGGGCTAATAGTGCAGCAGTTTAAGAATAATGTTCCCCAACACGATGCTTTAAAGAAATGTTGTCATCCACAGTGCATAATATCATTAAAGGATTCAGAGAATCCGGAGACATCTCTGAATGCAAAGGACGAGGCCAAAAACCAATATTGGACAGCCGTGATCTTCAGGTCCTCAGGCAGCACTGCATGAAAAACAGACATGATTCTATAGTGGAAATAACTGCATGGGCTCAGGAACACTTCCTAAAACCACTGTTTGCGAACAACATACAACTCTACCCTACAAAGAAGCCATATCTAAACATGATTCGGAAATGCCTCTTAAATGCCGTCTTAAATGCCCGAGCTCCTTTAAGATGGACTGAGATGAAATGGAAAACTGACCAATCTGACGAATCAACACTTCAGATTCTTATCGGAAATCATGGACGCCGCGTCCTGCAGACTAAAGAGGAGAGGGAGCATCCAGCTTGTTATCAGAGGAGAGTTCAGAAGCTGGCATCTGTGATGGCTTGGGAGGGCACAATTAATGCTAAACGAGGTATACAGGTTTTGGAACAACATATGCTGCCATCCAGACAAAGTCTTTTTCAGAGAAGGCCTTGTATGTTTCAGCAAGATAATGTCAACCTGCGTTCTGCGTGTATTACAACAGCATGGCTTTGCAGTAGCAGAGTCCAGCTGCCTGACCGGTCTGCCCGCAGTCCACATCTGTCACCCATTGAGAACGTTTGAATCGAAACATACGGAGACCTCGAACTGTTGAGCAGTTGATATCATATATCAGGCAAGAATGGGACATTTCACTTTCAAAACTCCAACAACTGGTCTCCTCAACTCCTAAAACATTTTACAGAATGTTGTTAAAAGAAGAGGTGATGCAACACAGCGGAAAACATGCCCGTTCCAACCTTTTTGAAACGTCAAATTCAAATTGAGCATAAATTTGTCATAAAACAATAACATTTCTCAGTTTCAACATTTGATATGTCGTCTTTGTTCTATTTTGCAATTAATTTGTGTTCATATGATTTGCAAATCATGGCATTCCATGTTTATTTGCATTTTACACAGCGTCTCAACTTTTTATGAAACGGCGCTGTCAAAGAATACAAATAAAATAAAAACAATGCACAACAATATAACGAGAACAGTGACAGTGCAATTAATACAAGTAAACAGTGGTGCAGGATAGTGCGCAGAGACAGAAGACTGCATATCGCAGAAACATTGTAGTCCAAATGCATTTTATCAGCATTCATGGCGTAGGTGGGAGCTGAGACGTCTAATAGCCTGGGGGAATAAAGCTGTTGCAGAGCCTGGTGCTGGACCGAATGCTCAGAACGTTCTCCAGATGGAAAGGGGGTGAACAGGCGGTTTTTGACAGGTGTGAGGGGTTAGGTGTGATGGAGTGAGCTCCTGTTTCGAGTGGTTCCCAGGTCAGGTTATGGTCTTACCACCCTGTCTGCCCACAGGCTTCCAGCTGCTGTACCAGCCTGAGGTGGTCAGGCTGTATCTGTCCCTCCTCACCGAGAGCCAAAACTACAACACCCTAGAGGCGGCCGCGGGGGCGCTGCAGAACCTCGCTGCAGGACACTGGACTGTGAGTGAACTGAACATGGGATGGAGCCAAGGGACAGGGTGGGACTAGGGAGGAAATGCTGGGTATGTGAGTGAAATGGGATGGGGCTACGAAGGGGCATAGCCTAGGTGGGGACAACAGGGGGCGCTGCTGGGCGGCGGGGCAGGATGCACACACTCACCTGTGCCTATGAAGAAGCTGTAGATAAGCTGTACATGTAGCAGAATTCGGCATTTGAACACTGTGAAAGCATTCAAAGGGCATGACTGGCAGGAGGGGGGTACCTGTGTGTGTCATCCGTCAAAGCATTTTTTATTTCACCTTTCAAGCTCTTAAGGCTCACTGATGCCACCTACTGGAAGTAAAATAGAAGTGCATGGCTTTGTTGACGCCGGGCGGGAAAGCTACGTGCTGTTGTGTGCAGCTTGTCATTACCAAGTAAAGGTCACAGCTGAGTATTTCGTGTTGTAGGGGAAGGAGAAGGGATTGACCTTTTAATATTTAGCAATGATAAATAACAGGTTTCTGGGCATTATTTAGCTGATAGTCCTCCGGTAGCTGTGTGCTGTGTGTCTCCTTAGTGGTCCAGATACATCCGGGCTACAGTGCGTAAGGAGAAGGGTCTGCCTGTGCTGGTGGAGCTGCTGCGCTCCCACGCCGACACTGTGGTTAGGGCTGTGGCCATTGCCCTGCGCAACCTGGCCATCGACCACCGCAACAAGGACCTCATAGGTAGGTCTCATGGTGACCCACATGAACATGAAGTTGATGGTTGAAATCCCATGAGAGAACCTTCTGTTTCTGACTGCAGTCTCGAACATGCTCACGCCTAATGACTGTCGACAGCTTTATTCATTTATCTGATTTTTAAAATCTGAAGTAGCATATAATAGAAGGGTTACGTTTTATATGTGCGCTATAGGATTTGGGCTCTGCGTGTTGAGTTACCTGAGCATAAATAATTCTCAGCACTCCTCCACCTTCCTGGACTCAGCTGAGCTAAGTAAGGAGAAGCAGAATCGGGCGGGAGGGTGGTGTGATAAACTAAAATGTGGATTTGCTGGGCCGGTCCTGGCTGTGCAGATAAATGTTAACATAAAAATGTTGAGATTCGGACGCCGTCTGACCGCAGGGAGCTACGCTCTGAGAGACCTGGTCAACAACCTGCCCAGCGGGCAGCAGCGGCCGGCCAAGAACCTGGAGGAGGACACGGTGGTGGCCATCCTCAACACGCTGCATGAGATCGTGACGGGGAGCTCTGAGAACACCCGCTCCCTCATCCAGGCACAGGCCGTACAGAAGCTAGTGGCCATCAACAGAACCAGGTAACATCTCAGCAGACTGAAGGCCGAGCTCACCTTCAGACAGGGGGGGGAGGGGGGGGCGACAGTTTGCTCCAAGAAAAATAATACTTGTAATGTGTAAAAGTTTGGTTTATTTAACAAGAAACATTATAAAAACTTCCAAATTGAGTTAAAAGATGTTCATGTCCAAAAGGGAATTAATTAAAAACAGCCCCCGGCACTAGCTTTTAATTGCTAATTGTTTTGAATGAAGCTAAGTTCTTGTCTGTCCTTGGTATGAGTCACTTCCTGTCTTCCTGCTATCAGTCAGTCGCCGCGGGAAACCAAGGCGGCGTCTCATGTGCTGCAGACAGTGTGGAGTTACAAGGAGCTGAGAAACGTTCTTAGCAGGGATGGCTGGAACAAGAGCCACTTCCAGGTATGGTGCTCTCCCATGACCCTGGCCAAACTGCAGCGGTAGGGACCAATCACACTCAGTTTGACATATCAGAATGACCTGCAGTCTGATGTTTTCTGCACGGGCATAATGGGGATGGAACCTAAGTGGCATGTACTATTCCTGGACCTGTTCAGCCATGTTCGGATGTCCTCTTGTCCTCCTTTAGCCCTCAACATCTGCCCTACCCAAAGGAACCAGGAACGGCAAGGCCAGCAACGACGACACCACGCTCCCTTTGATGGAGAGGAGCCAAGGTCAGCCGGAGGCAGCAAAGCTCACCGTGGAGAGTGGAGAATAAGAGGCGTCTCATTTCATCAGAATTAGTTTATGAAATAAAACACACTAGCAAGTTCAAAGTGACTTGAACCCAGCATGCACTAGCCATGCATGAAATCCTCAGGTGGTTGTGTGCTACAGTGAAACACCTGGTATGACTGCCTGCCTTTTTGTCTGCAGAGATCTACTCCACCGCGGATCCAAGGGACCACGAGTGCAGGTACAGGACGGGGGACGGGCAGGCCGGCACTGTGGAACGGGACACGGTTAAGGTACCGCTCTACTTAAGGGAGCATCGTCTGGGTAGGGACAGTGTACCGTATCTAAATGGCCGCATTGGTCCTGACCTCATGCTTTACCAGCTAAATTCTTGGGTATATGACCATACAGACAAGTTTCACACTTTTGTACCTCTTTGGTCTCAGTGATATTTACACAGTTTTGTTACTGCATGAATAGTTCAAAATGCACTGCCCTGCATCGACACCAGGGGGAGCTCTGTTCAATAGCCTGTCAGTCTAGCTTTACCAGTGACGTTGCTGTGTTGCTGAACTGACCACACTGACCTTTTTCTTGGTACTCCAGAATGACTCAAACAGGAAGTTCTTTATCAGGACTAATAAGCCATCAGTGAATCTGGTGGATGGCTGTGACCTTAAACCACAGCCTGTTGACTCCTGGGTGTAAAGCATGAATGGTAGGTCTGGTTTTTCTTACTTTTTTACCTACTGATGTTTTTACCACATTAATCCAAGATCAGTTAACAGCTGAGTCATAGAAACCTCTTAAACATTTAACTTTACAGCCAGTTCACTGATTCATAAGTCCACCAAATAATCCCACCCAAGCCACCCAATGATAATTCCTTACACAACCTGTAAAAAATTTACCTACATCAAAGTATATAAAACAGCTATTTATTATGGATCTTATTAACATCTTTTGGGGATGGAAGCTGATCGTTTTTCTGGTGAAATCACACCAGATGAAATACCACAGCACTACACTAAAAGCTTCCACAGCGAGAGTAAAGTCAGCCACAAATTCTGTTTGTGATCATGTTAGAAGAAATGCCACAGCTCGTCTGTGCGAACTGGTCCCTACACCCTGCTCCCGACCCCACAATGAATGGCCAGCATCTAGGAAGGCGAAAGTGACAGAAGCCTCAAAGTCCAAGCTGGGTCAGAGGTCACCTGGGGATCACCTTCTTGGAATGCCTCTTTCCCTGAGGGATGCAGAGGCTGCAGAGGTTTGGAAAGCAAACCTTGTAGTGGAGCTAGAGCCCCGTATCAGATCACCCAGTTCCCCTCTCCCCTGCTCCCTTACAGGCCTCGTGAAGGGTCACGTGACGTCTCCTCAGAGCGGACAGGATGGTCAGCATCGCCATTGCTGTTGGAGACACTGTCTGCAACCTCGATTGTTTTTTATTAACCAAACTCTGACCATTCGGCAGCCAAAGTGGACAATACTGCAGGCTTCTGCTGCTAAAACCTACATTCCCAGGAGCACTGTGAAGCTCGCCTCCAGTGCGGGGCCCTTCACTGGACAAGATGAAAGTGGCACTGTAACGGAAACAAACAGATCTGCTGAATGAAAAGGACTGACGAAATAACAATGTATTTGTGTATAAAATCAAAAATCATTTTGTTTTTATTGTTTGGATTAGTGTATTTTGTCTGTCTACACGGCAGAGTGAAATCCTCTTTACGCATCTTTTGTTTTGATTTACAGGAATTGCTGTGCAGATGTTTTCTTTTTGTAATGTAATTTTCTAGGAACATCTGAATGCTCAACGTAATGATGGATGCTGGGGCAAGGGAGTATGTTTGAACAGTAATCCAGAAAACCATTGGGGTGTCTGAAACAGCTTTAGAAGGGTAAACACTTGAGTAAATACATGCTGACTAAAATAAGCTTTGCATAAAGTGTTGCACAAGATATATATTTTTTTTCTTTTGCAGTGTTGACTTTCCTGGCGCAGAACTTGTAGGTGAATTAATAAACCAAAGCCAGCGCCGCCTGGTGGACACTTAGGGGATGACACCAGGAGTGTATTGATGTAACTGGCGTTATGCCGTTTCAGGGGGCCCACAAATACATACCGTTGCAGAAGATTGAGCAGGTAGAAGTTTAAATGACTTTCTTAATTTCTTGTGCTCAGTCTTCTATGTTTTGTGTTAGGGGACAAAAGTTTTTGTCCCATGTATTTTTTTCTAGTTTCTTTGAAATAAGATGATATGAAGACAAGAGTAAAATATATGTGCATTAAGGGTTTTTGTGCGGGATGGTTGGAGCAGTGGCGGTGGTGAGGCATGGTGGAAAAAAGACAACTACAGCAAAACCTCTAAACAAGTTATATTCATCTAAATTTTATTATTGTATATACTGTACCAATTTGTAAGTAATGAGGAAAGAAATCTAAAGTTTAGCTTAGCTGAGTGGTTTTTGCTAACTGGTGAAGGAACTGTGTTGGGAAGAAAAGACAACCAGCATTTTTGTATAAAACAAGTTAAAAAAAAAAATCAAGCTCGTCAGCAAAACGTTAGTAGAATGTGGAACCGTTTGAAATGGGAGTCTATTTTTAATATGGTGATAGGAAGAAAGCTGAACGTTGATCACTGTGTTTTCGAAGGGGAAAAAAACTTTTTAAAGCGAAGGTCCAGCGACACAGATCTGCTGGGGGACGTTGTGGAGAAAGCAGGGAGGTGATCAGCAAGACGTACGAGACTTAGAAGACTGTGAGGACTCACTTCTTTTCAGCAGGGACAGGCATGATGGACCCTGATTTGTTTCTTTGTACACCTGTACAACGTTGCCCTTATGTCTCTGATGCATCATTCTAAGTATTCTTAGCAAGCATGAGAAGAAAAAAAAAACTGTACTTTGACAGTGTTTTATAATGTTCTTTTTACATGCCTGTTTTTTTTTAATGTTTGCTGTGCATTTAGTTGCTTACAGTCAAAGACAGTCGTGTTTGATTTGAGACAGAGTTGCGGTGTCTTAAAATAAAACGTCTTTTTCCCCCCTTTCCTTAAACATTTGGCTGGCAGTGGAGCTGCCAGACTTTGAGTTTTGTTCAACACACGGGGAAAGTGCTGGCGGGTGCTGTGGGTTGGTGACCCTGTGCCACCAGGGGGTGTGACTGCAGTCGACTTATGTGGCTGGCTGTGAAGCTGACTGCAGGCTTGGCTCAGGGTTCACAGTGCATTTGTATGACAGGCTACCCTGAAGCCTACAGCTACCACACAAAACGTTCAAGGAAGCGTGTATCATTTTACAAGACAAGACTGGAGTTTTATCAACATATAAGAGTAGGTTAGTACTGTGCAGTCCATAAGCACTCTTCACTTAGCCACAGTATTGCTTTCACACAAAAGGAATTTGGTACGTATAAAAATGATGGATCTTGAACTTTCTGATTATCGGTGCCTATAGAACATGGAAATGGTGCCAGGAATTAAAAATATAAGGGTCAGGTGCTGTCTGTGGATTTAAAAATCATTAAAAATATTCTAAATGACACTTAGTTGCAGCTCGGTTTGTCAGAATCAGGTGCCTTAAAGCCATTCGTAGTGTAATGACTTGAAACCACAGAATAAGGGTGACATATATGTACACATACCTATGCTAATTATTCCCATCCTCACATTTGTGTCTGTTATCTCCCTTTGTTTTCATTATAGTCAGATCTTCTTGCTATGACACTGTACTATACAGTTAAAAAATAAACGTAAACTTTACTCTTTTAGACTAATAAATTGTGTAACATGTCAGTGTCTCACTGGTTTAAAATAAGATGTTACACTTACAAAATATACTGTGTGTCACTAATATTCTAAAGAAAGAGTTTAAGCTGTATAAGGAATCTGTAAGTTTGTAGAGGATTAAAAAGGCGGGTGTTTTTTTCCAATAAATATAATCTTGAATAACATTTTGGCTAATAATTATTTATTATAAATTAGTTTAGTTTCATTCAAGGTATTTCATTAGGGTTTGAACTTTGCTTTTAACTTTACTTTTTAAACCATTTGATTAATGGTGGTGAAGCATGATGGCAGAGAATGAGTTCCCTTATGGAACGCAGATGATAATGTGTTTGTTTATCTCAAAGGAGGGAGAAGTTGTGGTGGTATTAGGCGGCTAACAACATCTGAAAAGCACATCTGCCCAGTCGGAATGTCAGGGAGCTTTCCTTGTTTTTCCATGTAAAACTGTTCATGATAACTTAAAACAAGCTTCACCCTGGGACCGTGATCAAGTTTGCCAAACCGCATCTCGTGTTTTGTTCATTTTGCCTTGCAATCTGTTGACATGTGTTGGCTGTTTTGCGCAGACGTTCGTCGTGTTGTCAGACTGATGCACCTTAAGGGAGGCAGGTGAGATCCGATGTGTAGAAATGCTTATTCCGGTCGTCTGGCATGGCCTGGGCTGATGAGGGGGCGGACAGTGATGTCAGTCTTTGCGTGCTGACTTCAGAGACGCAGCATATGCGTTCCGCAGGCTTGCCGGCTGTCGCTCCCACATCCGCTGAAGTGCTGCCCCCGGGCCAACTTCCTCCGTCAACAGGAAGCAAGGGCGTCCTTGATGGAGGGCAGGTGAGTGACACGCCTGCAACACATGTTTAGAATTGCCTTCCAGCTATTTTAGCAACGTGCACATTCTCCCCGTAATTACTGCTGCTACCATCAGGCTGACGAGTCAGTTTATAATTAAAATATTTATTTGTAGTTATTTCATCATAGTGAGAGTTGCCTGTCGCAGCTATCTGAATTGCCGCTGGTCAACTTACGAACTGGAATGTGGCAAAGACGACACTGAGCAGATCTACAAAGTGACCTGCCGGTTTTTGGGTAAGACCCACACACTGCCCAGCCGGTTGCTATAACAACAAGGGCCAGGCCACCACGTTTTACAAGTTTTACAGTTGTTGAGCTACTTTGGGGTCAGAGGCATCGCCCCTACTTTTGTGTGCCGTCCACAGAAGTAGTCTACTGCAGTCTCTGACAGACCAGGCAAATACGGTCCATTTGTAACCCATTCTGTCTTCAATGAGCCTCCCAAAAGCACCTGGTGAGAGAGTGGGGAGCAGACCATAACTGTGATGGACAGGCTGCCGATGAGGCCTTGACTGAACCGGGTGGTGGTGACAGTCAAGCCAGTGATCAAAAAAAACGCTGTCAGACTGGCCCCGACAGCTGAGTGACGCCATGTGCCATCAACTGCATGCTTGTTCGGATCAGAACAGTCACTCAGATCGAGGATACTATTTGCCACCTCGTTCAACGTTTTAATTTTCCAAGGTTAAAAATTAAAAAGCAAGTTATATATATATATATATATATATATATATATATATATATATATATATATATATATATATATATATAGCCATCCGTCCTTCTAACCATTTAATCCTGGTAAGGATCGTGGGGAGTGTGTGTGTGTTTACGATGCGATATACACAAACAAAAAAACATATGTTTATTATTATAATTTTACTTGTGAAGGGAACTTGGATAATGTAGCCAAACCAGCAGGGGCCCAGGGCTCAGGCCCTACACCCCCCACCTCAGGCACGCCGGTTTACTTCAGTCAGCATGTCAGTCAATCACTTCACCCAGCTCTGGCAGCCTGAAATAAGTATTTTTGTGTTTCACAGGAGTTGTATAACACCTTCCTCTCCGATCATTCTCACTTAAAAAAACTAACCATAGGGTGAAATTAAATCCAAATTAATTGCATTTTCGACCGCTTATTTATTATACAGAGCAGCATCTTCAAGAATTTTAAAGCGGCGATTTATAAATACGCCAGTAGGTGGCGGCATTGTCATTTCCCAATACTTCCACCAATTACATAAAGTTAATTTGTACGTAAAATCCTCAAGTAATTATTTTTAAAATATATTAAATCCGTGTGACAAGTTTCGAGAAGGCCCAAAGCGGTCACAACGAGCACGATTAACAAGCAAACTTTGTAAAGACGCTTTCCAATAAACCGCACAACCGTAAATGGAACGAAACGGACAGCTTTACGGTACCGGGTTCAAGGTCAAAGTCCGTGTCACGTGACCCGCGGCTCAACGGCTCATGAGAGGGGCGCGGCTGCAGTCGCCCTTCTCAGGCGATGTCATTCGGGTGTCTATATGTTCACGCCTCGTCCCTTCCTGCACGCGCAAAAGAGGATAAAATAAAAGACTAAAATGATAATCATGTCACGATACTGCATCAGTACTATTTCAGTCCCGATGTTGATATCTTTCATGTGTCCCGAATGAATAACGCATTATACTATCGAGAATGCTATTAATGCTATTATTCATTCTAATATCTAGAATGCTTTAGATTTTAGACGTGAGTAATAAATGTCTAGCCACTACTTTGACAAGTAATGGCAGGCTTACTTTAATTACTTTAAACATTAAATAATTTAGATGAATATATTAAACACGAGTTTTCAAAGTGCAGTTTATCTGTTTAACATGTTTAGGGACAAAACATCCTACGCATATATTTGTGTAGGATCTATGTTTCATAATTGTCAGTCTATTATAAATGTAAACGAAACGGAGAACACGTTTCTTTTTCTCTGCGCATGCATCAACCCAACCGGAAGGGGCCAGAGAGTGGAGGACAGGGGCCCGAGTAGGGTGGCTGCAGCCGTATATTATTGAGTTTAGATGTTTTAGAAAACGAAAAAAAGTTGTATTTCTAATAATCAACAACCATGTAACTCCGTCCAATTACAACTTAAACGTCATTTTTAGGTATGAGTTCTAAGGTAAGTTTTCCGTTAGTTCCAGAAGTCGTTTAGGCAGTGAACTCAATATTCGTCTTTCGTCTCCTCTTTTTGGTGTCAGCTCACCGGGGGATTGCCACTTTAAAGTGTTTTCGGATGTTTTCTAACCAAACAAAATGTGTTTAATTAGCCACATTAATCACCCCTTAGTTCGCCGTACAGCGTGACTCCGTGAGCGCGAGCTCACTCGTAATGGGTCACCCCCCGGTGTGTCCGGAGACACTAATCATAGAGTAATGAGCAGTTTAAAAACCACCGATATTGCCTAAGGCCTTTCCCCGTCACTACAGGAATAAAGGAGTAAGTCACCATGTGAAATCCCGGTTCCCTTCATTTCCGCAAGGCCGGTGTTCTGTCGATATATGGTGCCTTGTCGAAAAATGCTACCGTAGTGCTAATCGATAGCCCTAACCCTAACCCTAACCCTAACCCCCCAAAACCCTTACCTTAACCCTAACCCCTAAAACCTAACCCTAATCCCAAAACGGTGGAACTGCACATGCGCAGAAAGGCTCGATGGCACGTCTCGATAGGTAGTATTTTATGACAGAACACCGGCTAATAGTCACCGGTGAGCTGTAACCCATAGTCCTATATTCAGGACGGGGTACCTTTGTTTTTTTCTGATTCCCCGCTTTTTCGCGTAGACAGTAGTTTCTTTCGTAAAAGTACGAAACCATTATTCACTACAATGCAACACAGATGATCAGAGTCAGCGGACGATTTGTAACACATGTTAGGATATTTTACCGTGTGTTATCGCAGCCAAATAAAGATGGCGGCTCCTTCATACATTTCTGCAGGAACTTTTACTGGCGCCGCCAAATTGTTCATCAGGTTTCCCCACAGCTGCTAGGAGAATTGGCAGGTCTGTAGGAGTGTGTTTGATGCGGGGTCGTTAACACGGGGCCTTATCTAACCTCTGCGATGTGTTTTGCAGTCCAACGAGCAGCATAGTGAAGTTTGATGGACAGCCACAGATGAGTTTGATAAACACCTGATATATATTTAAATTATTATAAATTGTATTTATCCTTAAGCAGCTTCTTGAGGTAGTACACAGTTGATAATCTGCAGCAGATTTCTCCTTTTCCCTTTGCTTTATTCATTGTAATATCTTGTGTGATCAGCACATCTGCACATGGACCATTTCCGCGGCTCCTTGGACTTAGCTGCTTGTCGTTCTGTCACCGAGCCAAGATTGAAGACCCACCTTTCTCCCCAATAGGGGGTCTACAAACAGAGGTAGCTCTCGACATGTTTCTGGAAAGCCCTGCGTTCTCAGCGGATTAGGGACGTTTCCATCAGACTGAAAGGGGACAGACAGTAGTGTGTTTGTTCAGTGTGATTTAAGAATGGGTTAGTCTGGTTCTGCTGGTTGGACATTCTTTTTTCCATTGTAGCTGACTTTAAGCACATATACACACACACACGTGTAAATTCTCTTCTCATCACTTGTCAAATCCTGGATTTGTAAAAACCTGAAATGCCATCTGGAATTGTTGGAGTGCACAAAGTGTTTGAAACGGTGTTCAAATTAAGTTCTAGAGCTGCTAATTGAATGTAAAGGAAGGCCTGTGATGGGGATTACCAAGTATTGTGTTTTAATGTTTTCCTCCATCAACTAAGGAGCCATTAAAAGCAAAACCTAATTGTATACATATTATGAAACCCATAAAAGATGTCTAGCATAGTACATCATGTCAAGTCTTGCATACCTCAATTTAGGCTAGTCCCGTTCCCTGTTTTTCTTTCTTTGCCTTTTGCTTTTTATTTTGACTCTGCCGTACGTCAGCACCCAAAATCGAATGCACTCAAGAGTTCTGTTTGGACAGATTTTCTTTGACAGTTTGCAAATATATGGGTGGGCCTGTTTCAGGGATAAACATGGTGCTGTGACAGAAAAGAAAATGCCCTGGCTGTCAGATGCCCTGATGTGTGTTAAGGCCCCTTTCCTCCCGTTGCCTCTCTATGTACAACAACTCTGTAAAAATGGTGCTATGTTATGCACACTGGGCTATGTAAGAAAATTCCCAAACAAATATTGTCCAGCAGAATCAGGAAACTACAGACGCTCCTCTACTTACAAATGAGTTACGTTCCGAATGGCCATTCGAAACTTGAAATGTTCGT